ACTATAATATTGGCTACTGTATTATTTTCATTGAGTGAAGCCCCTATAAGAAACACGGGACGTCATGGTTAGGTTATAGGAGATATATTGGAAGCCTTTGTAGATTGATGAGGACACGCTCCCAAGAAAAAGAGAAACCAGTGAAGTAGAAGTAGCCCTTTTTGTGAGAAGATATGTCCCAAATTACTGCCGTGTTTGCCTATCTACCAAGCATTGGTCAGGTTTGTTCATGTGTCAGTTCAAGGGGAGAGTCTCAAAGGAGATTTAAATTGAACTCACTTTTGCTGAGTGTTTATAAGCTGCATGCCTGGTGTATATATCTTATGAAGATATCCTGACACCTCTGAGATGAAGTGTGATCTCTGTTGTAAAGATGGGGAAACTGAGGTATAGAGAGACTACTTCTCAGAGATGGTAAGTAGAAGAACTGGGATTGTAAGTCCCTGACTTAGCCAGGACTCTTTCTACCTAAACTGCAACCCAGAAAACTCGTTCTCTGCCAGACACTGTATTTTGGGGATAATTGAGTTAACATTTAGTGTGACAGCACTTACATAAAACTCACTTTACAAAAGGCAGTCTTCAGACTTATTTTCCCCAAATACCACTGGCAGGGAACAGAAAATTGTAATGCTGAGTGTTAAGTGTCACAGTAAGTATAATCCCTGATAGAGGACACCAGCCTAACTGGGAAGGAGGGGTCACAGAATTGTTGTTCTGGGTGGTCCTAACACAAGTAAAATTTGAAGGAAGAATAATGGAAGTTAGCCAGATACAAGGTGTTAGGGTCAGTGGAGGAGTAAAGACTTTAAGTAGAGCAAAGAGCAGCAGGTCATAGGATTGGGACATCTTTTGATTTTTGTTGTTTACTGTTGTTCATACAGTAGTTCAGGTGATTTGCTTGTGACTATATCCTTGTAAAACTTTTCACTAAAAAGTAAATGGAAAGAAAAAGATGTATTTTAAACATGGGCATTTTTCTTCCCTTTTCTCTCCTTCCAGGCCCGAAATGCAGAAAAGGCCATGTAAGTATCAACTGTTTTTGGCTGTACATTTTTTGTAACTAAATAACCACCATGTAACTCTTTTTGTATTTCCTCTTTTTTTAATCTGAGCCTTTTGAGAAGCTGTTTCTTTCTCTACATATGTTAAAAATAGCATTCCCATATTTGTCCATTTGTTTTCTCCTTTTGTGTTTTCTCACAGTTTCCAGAACTTACACAGGATGTACATTTGTTCACCTCTGGTTGGTGCAGGGGTTGTGAGAGTGACAGCTAGAGAACACCATGATGTTAGTCTTTTAACACCTGGATGTATTGCTCATCACAGTGGTCTAATAAGTAGAGTTTGCCACAGTCCTTATGTGTAGTGTAAGTAAAATAGATAATTGGGTGTTCAGGAATACAAATTGCATCATAAACCCTACTCCTAGGAATTCCTAACTACACTGTGGTTTCTTAATTGCTATATATGTGAATGACATTAAATATGGTCATAAGCAGATCTACCCTATCCAGGAACATGGGTAATGAGAAGTCTGTGTAAGCAGGATCTAATGGAGTCCCTTATATCCCTGGTAGGACGGCCTTAGCAAGATTTCGCCAGGCTCAGCTGGAAGAAGGAAAAGTGAAGGTTCGTGTAAATCTTCCTCATGAACTGTAAAGTATCAAGAATAAATGCAGAATGGGTACAGTGACTCATGCCTGTAACCCTGGTACTTTGGGAGGCTGAGGTGGGTGGATCACTTGAGTGTAGGAGTTTGAGACCAGTCTGGGTAACATGGCAAAACCCCTTCTTTACAAAAAATACCAAGATTAGCCTAGCCAGGCATGGTGGTACCTGCCTGTAGTCCCAGCTACTGGGGAGGCTGAGGCAGGAGGATTGCTTGAATGCAGGAGTCTTACGTTACAGTGAGCCATGATTATGCCACTGTACTCCAGCCTGGGTGACAGAGTGAGAACCTGTCTCCAAAAAAAAAAAAAAGCTGAGTGCAGTGGCTCACGCCTGTAATCCCAACATTTGGGAGGCTGAGGGGAGTGGATCACTTGAGATCAGGAGTTTGAGACCATCCTGGCCAACATGGTGAAACCCCATCTGTACTAAAAATTCAAAAATTAGCTGGGCATGGTGGTGGGCACCTGTAATCCTAGCTACTCAGTAGGCTGAGGTAGAAGAATCACTGGAGCCCTGGAGACTGAGGATGCAGTGAGCTGAGATCATGCCACTGCACTCCAGCTGGACAGACTTCAAACTGCAAATGTTCCTATTTCTTGTCTGTACTTGCTGACACTCTTGAGAGTCTGTACACTTGAATTCCAGTACCTCCCCATAGCTGAGGCAGGGTGATGGATCTGGCTGCTTGTTTTTCCGTTTCTTCTGTGTTACAATGGCTGGGTCCTTTATTACTCCAGCTCTAATACTGAATAATAGGGAGTGGGGTATGATGTGGAGAACAGCTGTAAGCTGAAACCAGTAAATGATTTCATCTCTTAGAGACAGCCAGATTAGAGATAATGATACTATTCTTTGAATTTTTTTTGTTTTTTTTAAAAAGATTATATACACACATATATATATACACTCATATTTATGTATGTTTATTTTAAACACTGATAGACATTGTTTCTTAAGGTAATATAAATATGCCATGAAATAGATGGAACCTAGCTTAGCTGTCTCTATGTTGCAGGACAATTAAGTTGTTTCCAGTACTAAATACAATGCAATGAATGTTTTTCTTAAGGAGAGATTGTAGAATGAGGTTTAAGGCTTGATGAGGATCATCTGGAAAGAAAACTTCAACTGTATTTAGGCCATTAGATAATTTAGGCTTAAGGCCTAAATCAGTTGTGAATGTTAGGATGAAACTTGTAAGTAGTCTAATGGCAATGTGTTATTTTTTTCTCCTTAGGAACGAAGACCGTTTCTGGCCTCAGAATGTACTGAGCTGCCCAAAGCTGAGAAATGGAGACGACAGGTGTGTTCTGGGTAAATCTGATTTCAGTAGAAGTAACAAGTCTTATTTCTTCTTATTATCTAAATGACTGTTAAACCAAAAGTCTAAGTATTTTTAAATACCAATTTTGAATTATAGTTTTCTGTGCTTTCTAACATATTCAAAAATCATTAAAATGTATTACTTTTTTTTAAATAGATCATTGGAGAGATCTCTAAAAAGGTGGCTCAGATTCAGAATGGTAAGCAAACTTGTTCCTTTAAAGTGGTTGTTTCTCAAATCCACAATTAGACTTGAGGAATTCAACACTCTTCTCACAATAATCAATAGAACAAGTAGACAGTAAATCAGTAAGGACATAGAAGAGCTGATCAATATGATCAGTCAGTTTGATCTAGTTGAAAGATCTACTCACAACACTCTACCTAACAAAAAAGAATACATGGTTTTTTTTTAAGAGCATATGGAACATTCACCAAAATAAAACATATTCTGGGCTGCAGAACAAATGTGAGCAAATTTAAAATATTTGAAATTATACGAATTATTTTCTCTGATTATAACAAGAGATTCATATCTGAAAAATCCCTAAATATCTGGAAATTAAACACCACCATTGTAAATAACTCATGTGTCTAAGAGGAAACAACAAGGAAGTTAGAAGATATTTTGAATTTAATTACAGTGAAAATATATGTCAAAATTTAGGGAATGAAAATATTTATGGGATATAGCACTTAGATAAAAATGTATAGCACTGGCCGGGTGTGGTGGCTCATGCCTATAATTCTAGCACTTTGGGAGGCCATTGCTAGAGGCAGGTAGATCGTGAGGTCAAGAGATAGAGACCATCCTGGCCAACATGGTGAAACCCTGTCTCTATAAAAATTGGCCGGGCGCGGTGGCTCCAGCCTGTAATCCCAGCACTTTGGGAGGCCGAGGCGGGTGGATCACGAGGTCAAGAGATCGAGACCATCCTGGTCAACATGGTGAAACCCCGTCTCTACTAAAAATACAAAAAATTAGCTGGGCATGGTGGCGTGTGCCTGTAATCCCAGCTACTCAGGAGGCTGAGGCAGGAGAATTGCCTGAACCCAGGAGGCGGAGGTTGCGGTGAGCCGAGGTCGCGCCATTGCACTCCAGCCTGGGTAACATGAGTGAAACTCTATCTCAAAAAAAAAAAAAAAAAATAAAATATAAAAATTAGCTGGGTGTGGTGGCGTGTGCCTGTAATCCCAGCTAATCGGGAGGCTGAGGCACGAGAATCACTTAAACCCAGGAGGCAGAGGTTGCAGTGAGCCAAGATCACACCACTGCACTCCAGCCTGGCAACAGAGGAAGACTCTGTCACAAAAAAAAAAAAAAAAAAAAGAAAGAAAGAAAGAAAAAAATGTATAGCACTGAAATAATAGAAAATTAAGAAAGTTTCAAATTGGTGATCCAAACTTCTACCTTGTCAGATTAGAAAAGAAGAGCAAATTAAACCCAAAGCAAGGAGAAGGAAGGAAACAGTAAAAGTAAGAAATCAAAAACATTGAAAACAAGATGAATAGAGAAAATAAACCAACAGCTGGTTCTTTGAAAAGATCAAGAAAATTGATAAACTTCTAGTGATACTGACCAAGAAAAAATGTACACAAATTAAGAATATTAGGAACTAAATTGGGAACATTACTGCAGACTCTACAGATATTAAAAGGATGATAAGGAAATATTGCAGACAATTTTATGCCCATAAATTTGGCAACTTAGTTGAAATAGGTCAATTCCTTATAAGACACAAACCCACCAGTCGAAGCTCACTTAAGAGAAATGGTTCTTTTTTTTTTTTGAGACAATCTTGCTCTGTCACCCAGGCTGGAGTGAAGTGGCACAATCTTGGCTCACTGCAACCTCTACCTCCCTGGTTCAAGCAATTCTCCTGCCTCAGCCTCTAGACTAGCTGGGATTACAGGCAACTTCCATCATGCCTGGCTAATTTTTGTATTTTTTTAGTAGAGATGGGGTTTTACCATGTTGGACAGGCTGGTCTTAAACTCCTGACCTCAGGTGATCCACCCACCTCGGCCTCCCAAAATGCTGGGATTACAGGTATGAGCCACTGTGCTTGGCTGAGAAGTGGTTCTTAACCAGGTTAACCAGGGGCCTTCCCTCTGCCACCCTCCTCATGACATTTAGCAGTGTCTGAAGAAATTTTTGATTGTCTCAACTGGAGGGGTGCTACTGGCATATGGTGGGTAGAGACCAGGGATGTGGTAAGCATCCTACAAATAATTATCCTGAATAAACCACAGTGTCAGTAATTCTACTGTTTAGGGACAAAGTTCAAGAAGAAAAGGTAAACCTGAGTAGTCCTGTTTCTGTTAAAGAAATTGAGGCTGAGCACCATGGCTCATGCCTGTAATCCCAGCCCTTTGGGAGGCTGAGGTGGGTGGATCACTTGAGGTAAGGAGTTCAAGACCAGCCTGGCCAACACGGTGAAACCCCATGTCGGCTAAAAATACAGAAATTAGCCAGGTATAATGACACATACCTGTAATCCCAGCTACTTGGGAGACTGAGGCAAGAGAATCACTTTAACCCAGGAGACAGAGGTTGCAGTGAGCCGAGATTGGGCTCCTGCACTCTAGCCTGGGAGACAGAGTGAGACTCCATCTCAATTTAAAAAAAAAAAAAAAGAAAGAAATTGAATTCACTTCTAAAAACCTTCCTACAAAGAAAATTCTGGGCCCAGATGGCTTCACTGGTCAGTTCTACTAAATATTTAAGGGAGAAGTAATACCAACTCTGCTTAGTTTCCTCAAGAAAATGGAAGAAGAGGGAACACTTTTTTTTTTTTTTTTTTTTTTTTTTGAGACGGAGTTTCACTCTTGTTACCCAGGCTGGAGTGCAATGGCGCGATCTCTGCTCACCGTAACCTCCGCCTCCTGGGTTCAGGCAATTCTCCTGCCTCAGCCTCCTGAGTAGCTGGGACCACAGGCACGTGCCACCATGCCCAGCTAATTTTTTGTATTTTTAGTTGAGACGGGGTTTCACCATGTTGACCAGGATGGTCTCGATCTCTTGACCTCGTGATCCACCCGCTTCGGCCTCCCAAAGTGCTGGGATTACAGGCGTGAGCCACCGTGCCCAGCCAAGGGAACACTTTTTAACTGATTTTATGACTTTTAGTATCAGCATTACTCTGATGCTAAAATCAGAAAAAGATATTATGAGAAATAACTACAGACCAATATTTCCTATGAATATAGACAGAAATCTTTAATAAAATACTAGCACATCAAACCTAGCAATATGTAAAAAGGATAATACGTCACAACTAAGTAGGATTTCTAAACCATAGTTGATTAGCATTCAAATATAAGTTAATTCATTATGTCATTCTAAAGAAGAAAAACTGTATGATGATCTAAGTAGATGCAGAAAAAGCATTTGACAAAATTTGATGGTTACTCATGATAACAATTCAGCAAGCCAGGACTGGTGGCTCACACCTGTAATATCAGCACTTTGGGAGGCTGGCTGAGGTGGGCGGATCACCTGAGGTCAGGAGTTCGAGACCAGCCTGACCAACATGGTGAAACCCCATCTCTAAAAAAAAGAAAAAAAGAATTCAGCAAACAGAATGAAAGGGAACTTTTTACCCTGATAAAGCACTCTTTTTTATTTATTTTTTATAGAGATGGGGTTTCACCATGGTCTTGATCTCTTGACCTCGTCATCTGCCTGCCTCGGCCTCCCAAAGTGCTGGGATTACAGGGGTGACCCACTGCGCCTGGTCACTTTTTTTTATTTTTTATTTTTTTTATTGAGATGGAGTTTTGCTCTTGTTGCCCACACTGGAGTGCAATGGCATGATCTTGGCTCCGTGCAACCTCTGCTTCCCTGGTTCAAGCCATTTTCCTGCCTCAGCCTCCTGAGTAGCTGGGATTACAAGTGCCAACCACCACACCTTGCTAATTTTTGTATTTTGAGTAGAGACAGTTTTCACCATGTTGGTCAGACTGGTCTCAAGCCCTCAACCTCAGATGATCCACCTGCCGTGGCCTCCCACAGTGCTGGGATTACAGGCATGAGCCACCATGCCCAGCCCTGATAAAGCACTTCCAACAAGAAACCCACAGCCAATAAACTGTTTAGTGGTGAAGGATTGAATGCTTTCCTCCTAAGATCTGGAACAAGGCAAAGACACCAATTCTTACCACTCATATTCAGCATGATGCTAGAAATCCTAGCCAGTGCGGTAAAGTAAGGAAATAAAAGGCATACAGATTAGAAAGTAACAAATAAAACTCTCTTTATTGTAATGTAGAAAATCCCTCATAATTTCTTTTTTTTTCTTCTTCTTCTTCTTCTTTTTTTTTTTTTTTTTTTTTT